ATTTCACCCCAAAGGTGTTCAGTAGGGTTGAGGTCAGGGCTGTGTGTAGGATACTTGAGTTCCTCCACACAAAACTGGTCAGACCGTGTCTTTATGGAGCTGGCTTTGTACACAGGGGACAGTCATGGTGGAACAGAAAAGGGCCCTAACCAAACTGTTACCTCAAGGCTGGAAGAGCACAATTGTCTACAATGTCTTTGTATGCCGTAGCATTAACAGGCCCCTTCAATGGAACTCCACCATTTGTAGGGGGTGTCCCCCGCGGCTGTAGTGGGAGGAAGTGACATCAGGGAGAGAGGGAGCCGTGAGGGACGAATCTTCCTCCGGCAGCCAGCCAGCCAGCCAGCCAGCAGGGGTGGAGAGCAGCGCTTTCGTCTGGCAGACGAGTTTGGGGCCGCCCTTAGGGTTGCCACCCGTACGGGTTTCACCCGTACAACCCGGGTTTGGAATCATGTGCCCGGGTCTGTGGCCACCTCCCGCCCGGGCACATGATTCAAACATTACAATGCCGCATACCTGCATTTCTTGCGGCGGGCGAAGGACGGCGGGAGAAGGACGGCGGGCAGAGGACGGCGGACGCCAGGTGGCGCTGTCTCCTGTTCCTCGACTCTCCCTCCCTCCTCTATTTCCTCCGCGGCTGTAGTGGGAGGAAGTGACATCAGGGAGAGAGGGAGCCGTGAGGGACGAATCTTCCTCCGGCAGCCAGCCAGCCAGCAGGGGTGGAGAGCAGCGCTTTCGTCTGGCAGACGAGTTTGGGGCCGCCCTTCTCATCTCCTCAACAACCTGTCATCTCACCTTTGAAGAAAAGCAGGTATTTATTACATTTTTATCAAATGCAATATTAATTGGAAAGGGGGGGAATCAGTATTGCACATTAAACATGCCCCCCCAAAAAATGTTTTGTGGGGGCATCTTTTATGTGCAATAGTACACATCAAGGATACAGGCAGGGGAACAAAACCTGACACTATTTCTTTATAGGTGACACAATAGGAAATGAAGGTCGGGGACACAGATGTTATGTGATATATTTTAATACTCACACACAAAACAAATAAAA